ATCCAAAGACTGATACAAGGAGATTTCTCACAATTGTACTTCTCAAGCAACCTATGTGTCTTGTCTGAAAATGGCCCCATAGTGATTGATCAATTATTGTTTCCATGTTCCTTGGATTGTTCACAGACACTTGGTGGTGGTGGGGCGGGAGTGGGATGCCTTCTTTTCTGATTTCAGGGAATTTCACCTATTCACTCCCATTCTCCCAAATTGGAAAGTCTCTAATATTTCCTCCAATTAGAAATCAGATTTCTTAATGTTATATTATTGCCTTTTAATTAATTGGCCTTATTCAATTAATTGTTTTTAATGTATAAATGTCTTTCTTCCCCTGTATTTGGGGTCCAGCCCTAGGCTGAGGAAGAGTGCTGGTTTGTTGAACAGTTGGCATGCATTGCTTAACAAATTGACATGTTTAGAAGATAGAACCTTTGTTTCTTCAGTCATTTCATCTTTCACCTGCCACATGTGTTTGCATCAAATAACATAGCACCTAAATTCTTAAATTAGATTAAATTCAATTAGAAGTAGAAATAGACAGCAGCATGATAATAGTGGGAGAACATAATGTACACTTCTGAGGATTAGAAAAATCTAAGCAAAAGATTTACAAGAAAGAATTTAAGGTTGCGAAAAGAACTTTAGAAAAATTAGAGATGATGAGTCTCTGGTGATTATGGAATGGGAATATTATTATCACTCCCTTTACACTTTCTCCCTTGCAATCTTCCCTATTACTGTAAAAGCAATCAGCATCCTTCCAGTACTCCAGGCTCACAATCTAGGTGTCACCCTCAACTCCTCATTTTCTCTCACCCTTCATATCCAATCTGTTGCCAAGGTCTACAGATTTCACCTTTGCAACATTTCTTGAATATGTACTATTCTCTCCTCTGATATTTCCAACTCCCTGTACAGGCCTTTATTTCCTCATGTCTGGATTATTGTAGCCTGCTAGTTGTTCTGACTGATACAAGTCTCTCTCCACTTCAGTCCTTCCTTCATTTAGCCATCAAAGTAATTTTGCTAAAGCACATGTGTGGGATGCCACTCAAATTAAAAAAAAAACATGCTTAGAGGTTTTTCAAGGAGAAACAGAAAGTGAATTTATTTATTATTCTCAAGAATAGGGTGTCCCTCCACCAGAATGCTCTGATGAGGGGAGACAGAGTACAGGAGTTAAGAACTAGATTAAATAGCCCTAATGGGTAAATCCCCTCTCCCACCAATTGGCCAATGTTTTGGCTCACAATCTATGGAAACAGAAAACAAAACAAAGAGAACAATATACATGTCTGTATTTAGCCCCTTGGTTTGCTGAAGTAATACCAAAGAAGCAATTAAAGACGTGCAGTCAAGCTAGACACTGTACTGTATAGCCAGGTCACCATGACTGAAATATAGCAACAGGTACAACAAGATATGGGGGGGGCTTCTTCAGTAGTTTTGGGCCTGGGCTCCCGTAACTCAGGTGATTTCTAGTAAACTGAAATTAGGCCTGTCAGGCTGCTATGCCTGCCTTGAGACTAATACAATTTCTATTTATTCTTCTAAGAAGTCTTCACAGGACTCCTTATCCCACTCAGCCTTATCTCAAACCTTAATTACACTGAGGAGTCTTCACTGGAACATCCCATTCACACAGGACCAACCTTGTCATCACCTCCCTTCCTCGCTAAACATATACACTCAATAAATTCCAGTGCTTCCCTATCACCTCTAGGACTAAAGTCTAGTGTCTTCACTCTTTTTATCATTCCTATTCATCCTCTACATAGCTTGCCTATATGTAGTTGTTAGCACGTTGTCTCTTTCATTAGATTATAAACTCCTGAGAAGGGAATTACGATTTTTATGTTAATCGATATATGTATAATGAATATATTAGTAATTTAGTTTTTCTCAAGAACTTCCCTTCTGGCTCAGGAGTCAGAGCTCACAATGCAGCTGAAAATGATCAATCAGACTTTGATAACACTCACAGTCACTGCTGGGTTACCTGAAGCGAAGTGAATCAAAGACTGTAGAACCTGTTCCCATCACAGAACTCTGGTCCTGTAACCCACCAAGTAATGACCGCAAAGTACTCTAGCAATATTGCTACCACAGGATTCCAGAATTGTGGTATTGTCTTCCATTTGTGGGTGTGTCTTGAAAAACCACTCTGTCCCTGGAAGACATTTTTTGTAATCCACCTTTTCCCCTCCCTTCCCATTGTGATTTATATATATAATCACTGTCTTCTCTTGAGCCAGGTGAAATTCTGATCAGGAGAATTCCTGATTTGCAAATCTGTTCCTCATAATGAAACTAAGTGGCTACCTGATTACTGGCACTTTGTCTCTGGCCTGCAGTCTCACCATTCTCAGGTTAAAGATTGGCTCAGGGAAAGCCTGTTAACATGCCTCAAGGGCAGGGAATGTCTTTCACCTTCCTTGTATTCCCAGTGCTTAGCACTACTCCTTGTAGTAGGTTTCAATAAATGCTTATTGTTTGACTGAATAGAAAAGATTTTACATATTTATCAGCTACACATGACATCTTTATAAAAATTGAGTACTATGTTGCAAAGACTTCAGAAACACGTAGAAAAGCCAAAATACTAAATACACAGTTTACTGACAATAATGCAATAAAATTATATTCAATAAAGGGCCCTTGAGGAAAAAACTGCAAAATAATTGAAAACTAAATAGCTTAATCCTGAAGAAGCAGTAGACCAAAGAAAAAATGATAGAAATAAGAGAAAATTTCATCAAAGAAAATGATAATGGGACAGCACACCAAAGCTTATGGAATGCAGCTGAATGGGATGTCCCAGTGAAGACTTCTCAGTGTAATTAAGGTAATGAGTTCAGAAGGTAGTATGAGAAATGAATTCTCAGAAGTGAAGGCTCCTCAAAGGGTCAAATAATTCTTGATTATTACTTTCAAAATCCTCTCCCACTTAGATCTCTTTTTAAGCACTTAACAGGAAGAATAAACCCTGCCCCACCCCCAACCTGAGCTTCCGGCCTCTTTCCTTGTCTTTGAATTTCGGGCCTAGAATGTAAGCCTTACCTCCCAGTTAAGAGGACAGGAAGAAACTTTCGAGTTTAGAATGTAAGCCCACCCAGTTAAGGGGGTAAGGGATAGTGGTGGGTGGAAACTTGTTTGCGTGTTGGGCAGAGATTTGCTTTCATAAGGTAGCCCCTGTTACTCCTTCTCTCTCTCCACGTGTATTGAAGGAGCAGACAGCCATCTTGCGAGACTGTAATAAAGGTAACCTTTACTTTCCACCTTGAGAAGTCTCTGAGTTTAATTTGGGTTGGGGTCACTGTCCCACACACAGCCAAAGCAGTTATTAGAAGAAAATTTATATTTCTGAATACTTTCATCAACAAAAGAGAGAACGAACAAATTAATTAATGGGTATGTAAGAACCCAACAACCTTGAACAAACCCCATTCAATCTACAAGGTAGAAATTCTCAAAGTTATAGAAGAGATTTGAGGCCCAGAAAGCTGAGCTGACTTAACCAATGTCATATCACAAGTAGGCAGAAGAGGCACTGTTCAAACTCAGGCCCTCTGCCTTCAGCTCCAGTATTCCTTCTACAGTACCATGTCACCTCTCATCCCAAGATGCCTTTGATGCCCCTCCTCCAACCCACTCCACTTACCCTGGGCCAAGAGATTAGGCTCCAACAGAGCAGTAACACTGAGATGCCCCCTCCCCAAGGAAACAATGCCTTCCTAGAAAGGAGTCGTTACAAGTGACATTCCCTGGCCCCTTTCCCAGATCCCTCTTTCCTAATCCCTTGCATGCCTTACCTGCCTCCTGATCACTACAGGCCAGATTCACATTAAGCTCCCAAACCTTTAGCATCAAGGACTCTACGCTGGCAATGGGGTTTGTATGGCATTGCTGAATCTGACTTGGTAGTTCTGGGGCATTTTCTCCTCTTGAGACTTCCTAAATGCTTCAAGGGAGTGCACTAATGTAAAAACCAGAGAGGTTTCCATAAAACACCAGACTTTTCAAAAACAGGTGCCTGAGGCCCACTGTCTTGTGCCCAGGACCCTCCATTTCAACACAAAACAGTGATGACTGTTGAGGGGTGGGCTAAGGAGATTGGTGGTACAGAGATGTCCTATTTCATCTCTTGTAGATTGTCCTTACCTGAGGGAAGCCATGCTTAGCTACCTCCTGCCACCACCACAACATCTAAGGAAAGAGAAAACTACCTCTACAACCAAGACCTGCCCTAGGGATGGAGCAGTTTCAGAGGAGGGAACAAGGCAATTCCTTTAAAGGGACCCAGACATTTTTCATTTTCCAAATACTCTAGGGACAGCTAGGTGGCACAGTGGATAGAGCACCAGCCCTAGAGTCAGGAGGATCTGAGTTCAAATGTGGCCTCAGACCAAACACTTGACGCTTACTAGCTGTGTGACCCTGGGCAAGTCACTTAACCCCAACTGCCTTAATAATGACAATAATATAATAATAATAATAACAAAACCAAAGTACCGTGAAAGAGTGATGATTCAAGGTAGAAAGTCATTTGGATTGGGTAGATGTTGGCAGCACAGACAGGCAGTCAACTACCTTCAAGTTTTTAAAAGCAGTTTAGGATTCATGCAGACAACTGCAAAAGAGATGTTCAAATCCATTTTCATGGAATGACAAAGTTGGCTCAGGAAGCAGCTGGTGTCCAGGCTTAGCTCCACCAAGTTCCTCCACCCAGTGCTTGTGGGAACAAGCAGGTTAGGGCCACTGTTGGAGGGATAGAGGTGGTCATGACTATTAGTGATTCTGATAAGTTGAGTGTCCTGATGCTTCTTCCGCAGGATTACCTGTGTTAACGGGACAGAACTAGACTCTAACTCTTGAGTTGTCAGAGCCAAACAGAGCAGGCTAGAGACAGGAGAGTCAGGAGTCAAATAGAAGTTTAATTTCAAAGTGAGGGAAATGTCTTCCAAGCAAGCACACAAGTGCCTGGGGCCCCACCTCTACGGGGGTGGGGGGGAGGGCTGGGGGAACCTGCTTTAGTGGCCAAATCTCAACACTTTATACCAGTGGCTGTGCAGGCAGTTGTATCCCTGGCAAAGAGGGGTAACAATAACAATGTGACAAGTTTGCTTCATAGTAGGGCTTCAGGATTACAACTTGTCTGAGCTCAGGGAACATCTGATGCTGGTCCAAGCAATACAATAATTATGTGATTTTGCCAGAGGGTGAGATCATCTGGAGGGTGAGCACAAAAGACTGTTGTTATTTCCAGGTCAGGGCTCCGCTTACTTCCCAGTTCTTAGCTCTGGAAAACTGGGTGCCTCCATATCTTGACACCTGCGTACTTCACAGATGAATAAGATGCCGAAATCCCCACCTAGAGAAAACAGAGAGATGAGGAAGAGTTGGGGAGGTGGGATATGTAGAGAAGTATAGATGGAGCATGAGAGAAACACAAAATAGTCCACAAAAGCAAAGGGAGAACAGGATGGGGGGAGGGGCAGGGAGGGAGCTGAGGCATCACACTTACCTTAGTACTTCTCTCTCATCGGGGGTGTTGGCTGTGAATGAAAAGAAAAGTTGTCAGGCCCACTCATTGTTACATTAAAGAGTTTATAAAATGCTAGAGATACTGTTGCTGTTCCTGCTATTTTTATAGATAAGGCAGGAGCTAACAAGTACAACCCAATCTTCTGCAGTTAAAAGAAGAAAGATTCAAGTTTGCCTCATCCTTAGCGCATTTCTGGAGGCCAAGAGCAAGATAGTCAGACTCCTTCCCTGAGCCAGCCCTACCTCCCCCGTCCTACAGCTACTGCTGGGTCTGCAGCACACCTTCACTCCACAGTCCTGACTCCTCACCCTTCTTAGCTGAACATCTTCATCTACTAACGATACTGGATTTGAACCCAGAAGATTTGGACTTGAATCCTGTTTCTACCGCTTAGAATCTGCACATAGTGCAGTGGAATGAAGGCTCAGTTTGAAGTCGAAGCAGAGCTCTGCCACCTGTGTGCCTTTGAGCAAACTGCTTAAGTTCTATGGGCCTCAGTTTCCCTATTTGTAAAATGAGGGGGTTGGACTAAATGATGTCTGAGGTCATTCCCATCTCTAAATCTATGATCCGATGATATTATAATCTCAGGCAAATTGTATGATCCCTTTGAGTCTCAGTTACTTTATCTGTAAAATGGAGATAATAATGTTTATACTAATTAACTCACAGGGTTACTATGAGGATTAAATTACATTATTATCTCCCCTCCCCTCACTACTGACCTCACAGTGCTCCTGAGAGTCCCATACTAACCCGAGATACCCCTCACTCCCTTTTCTGAGAAGCACTGTCCTGAACTCCTGGTTGTATAGGCTTTGCCATGTAATGTCTCCACTTTTCCCCATCTCCAATGTTGTCCTGGCTATGCTACAGAGCTGACCAAGAGAGCTAAGCTTCTGCCCTCCTTGCAGCTCTGCTGAGCTCCCACAAGCCTCATTTTCTTCAGCCTCCAGTCCAACTTGGGCAAGGTGTGTCTGTATCCCACTATACACTGGGACAGCCTGTGAGAGAGCCAGCTGTACTTACTTGGTTCCTCTACAAGATTCTCTCCTTCCCTGTGTTTAGGGCTATCTGGGAGAGTTAAGGCAGGGCACATAGAAGGTAGGACAATGGGACAGTCATGAACCTCAGGACCAAGGACAGGGGAAAGTGTTTGTTTAAAGGAGAAATAGACACCCCCCCCTTAAAGCGGCCATACATCACTTAATGAGATACTTTGTGAGACAGTGGGAAGTAAACAAGTACAAAGATTTTAGGATTTCTGTACTGCAGATCTTAAGGCCAGGAGAGGTGGTGGACAGGTGGGGAAGCACCAAGCCTCATCTCACATGGAGAGATTTCTGTGTCCTACACCCAACAGTGGCTGAGCCATACCACCTTCCACCCCTCCCCCACCCCACTGCCAGGAAAGACTAAGGCTCCCACCTTCTCTGAGAGTTTGGCTCCAAATCACTGAAGCCCCTCCGTCTAGGACTAAGGTTATTCAGAGAAATCTGGTTAGAAACATAGGGAGAAAGAAAAAGGCAGCCAAGTGTGGTGAAAAGAGGCCAGGTTAGAAGTTGGAGGACTACTGTACTTCTGACTCTTCCCCTTTCTATTTGTGTGACCCCAGACAAGCTGCTTAACCTTCTAGGCCTCCATTGCCTCATCTGTAAAGTCAGGAGACTTTGCAAGATGACCTAAAAGATGTCTTCCTGATCTAAATCTGTGATCTTATGAAATTTCAAGCATTGCTTTCCCATTTCCACCCCCCCACACACACACAGCCTGTCTCTGACTAAGGGCACCATTGAAGAATCCAATTGGGACAGTCCCAATCCAAGGAAAAGGAAGTGGTCATTAGTAAATGAAAAGGATTGTCCAAAGAAGCAAGAAAGCTGACAGCTAAATGGAATAACTAGGGGTGTGTCTCAGAGGTGACTCAGTCTAGATCTTGGTGTGTCTTAGTGACCGTCTTTATCCCTGTCTTTCTGTTTTTTACTATTTCTCTTATTATATCTTTGTTTCTCCACCAAGCTGGTTTTTCATGCATAAACTATGATATTTTTTATTTATTAGGTTTGTAAAGCACTATCCCCAAGCTCCTGACTCCAGCATCTGTGGGGTAAAAGAACTCCAGTGTTTTATTAAAGAATCTCACAGGTATAGGTATGTGTATGGCTGAGGATTCTCTAGGCCAGGGAAAACATGGTACTGATCCAGGGTCTGGGGAAGGATGGGGTTGGGATCTTGGTCAAGAAGAGAGCCCATTACATAAGAACCCAAGGGGACACCACATACCTGGCTCCTTGTGTTGCTTGTAGTAACACAGGGTGGCGGCAGCAGCAGTTACAGCAATCGCAACCGCCAGGACGAATGTTATCATAACCATGTTCACAGTGCTCAGCTTCCCTCCTGACCCCAGGAGAGAGAGATCTCAAGGTACATAGTACTTCTTCTTCCCTACCTCTACCCTCTCCTTCCCTTCCACTATTGCTAAATCAGCCTTGCCCCAATTTCCCCTTTTCTCCTCCCTCATCTTCAGCAGCCAAGCACCCTCCTAGTCTCAGCCTCTTGGCTTTCCTGGCTTCTTTTAAGTCTCAGCTCCAATCTCATTTCTGAAGAAAGAAGCCTTTGCCAGTCCCCCTTAATTCTACTACCTTCCCTCCAAGATGAGCTCCAATTAATCCTGTATATATCTGGATTATACAGAGTTGTTTGGATGTTATCTCCCCCATTAGATTGTAAGCTCCTTAAAGGTACAGATTATTTTTTTCTGTCTTTGTATCCACAGAGCTTAACATAGTACAGGACCTGACACTTAATAAATGCTTGTATATTTTATATTGACTTGATCCATGTTCTTTCTCTATACTGACAGAGGCCTTCACTCATAACCTGGTAGAGGAGTCCCAAGAACCAGAAGAAAAGAACACTCCTCAGGCATCTCTTACAAGGAGAGGCCATTTGCACAGGCTTACACAGTCTCTACCTGGATACAGAACTATCCTGAAGGAGATGGCCTAGGAGATGATATAGGATGTGTTGTGGGGTTCTAGGAGTCCGTTATAAGCTATGTATCTGGATGTTTCCACCTACTTAGGGCGTTACACTGATATTCTGATTTCATTGATTCCATTGATATTCAAGAGTCATTGAAAAGCTGATTTCTTAAAGCCTATCACTTAGGAGCTCTGGTCTCCAAAGGAGGTGAGCATAGAGAAATTGTACATATGGGTAGGACTGTGCCCTCCCATCTGACCTGATCACCACATAGTGGAACTGCCCTGACTCTCCTCTTTGCCTCAACTGGAATTACTGAGAGGTGGTATGGCATAGTGTATAGAGCTGGGCTTGGAATGAGGAAGACTCTCATTCAGGTCCTCCTGCTGTATTATCATGGAGATGTCACAGCTCTCTGAGCCTCAATTTGTTATCTCTAAAATAATAATAGCAGCAGTAATAAAGCCTGTGGGGCTTTTTGTGGAGATCAAATGAAACATGTATAAAAAATGCTTCATAAACCAAAAAATGCTACCTAAATGTCAATTATTCTTATTATCTCTTTCTAGTATTTCCTTTTCACACCATAAAAACCACATGATCTCAGTCCTAGGTGTCTATCTCTTGCCCTCAAATGCCTTGGCCAAGTCTCTTTACCTTTGACACTGATTACTATAGTTTCGGATAGATGGCAATATTTCATGGTAGGATCCATTATGAGCATGGTTCACTTGAAAGACAGTACAGTTGAAAGTCTGATTGTCAAACTTTAAGGCTTTGTCATTATAGTCGTATGTGACTTTGTGCAGTCGTTTGCTCTTCCAGCTGTGGTACCTCAGGATCATAGTGTCACCTTCCATGAATTCTGATCTCTCTGCTTGTAGTAGCAGCCGGTCTGAAAGGCAAACACAAAGGTCATTGGCTCATGACATTTCAGCTTGTCCTAGAGCCTTGGGCCATCTAAGATTTCCTGCCATGTCCAAAGACAAACAGACCCTGACTCTGAACCAATGATTCCAACCACTGAACTTTCATATTGATTGATTAAATGTAGGTCCTTAGTCTCCTGGCTACTTGGAGGGGAGTTGTGGAAATTTTCTGGCAGAAAGTAGTGAAAATAGAGTCAGTGAGAGAAACTTAGAACAAGATATGAGGACATGCAGAATGCCGCTTGCTAGAATGTGCCCACATATTGTTGTTATTGTTGTTGTTTGTCCTTTGTTGTCAAAGAAGACCAAAGACATAACAGGGTGATGTCCTGACTCATGGGTGAATTTGATTTAAAAGAGCTAAAGGTGCACAAAGTTGTCAGCTTCACTCTCTCTTTTAGGGTCCTTGAAGTCCAGTGGCAAGACAAAAGTTAGGATGACTGGCAATGGCCCAGGATGAAGTGGATGACCCTGGCATCTTCGATCTCTCACCAAATTCTAAGCACTCCACAATGCCTGCTTTTAGCCACCTTCATGTCCATTGGAACAAGATGTTCTTATCCACCCATTCCACTGGCAGAAGTCTTCCCATGCTTGGGGTAGACACCCCACTAACTTGCCAATGGGTTTGAGGCTGGTTGGTTACCCTCAACTTGGTTTAGCCCATCTGACAAGATGGGTGACCACTGCACATGCTACAGCTTCTTGGAACCACAGGAGAGAGTTGAGTGCCAAGTAGACAACAAAGGAAGATGAGCATCCCTGAAAAGGGCTTGGTCAACCCTTACACCAGAGGTACTAGTCCTCCTTGAATACTCATACATCCCATCTACCTACATGTAATCCAAAGGGCTCACCACATATCAGAACCCAATAAACGGAGAAAGAAATGGGGAGACTGTATAGGTAGGATAAACACTGGGGCAACTTAGGAGGAATTAAAGAACTAGGAGGGGCCTAAAACATTTTAGAGAATGTGAGGTCATTTGTAATCTGAAGCCATAACCTTCAGCCTGCAGGGGATGCCAGTACAGCACGGTGAACTGACCATGGGACTCTACTCCTCAGCCAACTCCTGTGGCTCCCCATTGCCTCTAGGAAAAAATGCAAATTCCTCTGTTAACTGTGAAAATGGCCTTTACAACCTAGCCACGGACTACATGGACTACAACCTAGGACATGACTCTCCCCTCCCTTGGATCTGACCACCCAGCTAAAGTGGCTTTCTCTCTGTTCTTCTCATGCTGCCTTCAGCTCCCAACTCCAGGCTTTTACACTGTCCATCTCTATACCCAACTCCCATCCCCTATGCCTCATAAAATTCCTCTCTTCTTATAAGATGCAGCTCAGGCAATACCTTCTACACCACACCAGTCCTGGTCCTTTCAAATGCAAGGAGCTTTTATTTCAAAATGCTTGTAAATATTTGTACTTAGTAATCTTATATTTACGTTTTATGTAGATTACTTAATATATGATGTATTTATATATATTATTTATATAATGTATGTGTATATATACATATGCACACACACACATATCTACACATATATATTACATATACTTGTTATCTCTCCCATGTGTGTGTAAATTCCTTTGGAGCAGGGATTGTTTTCATGCTCTGTACTTATATTTCCAATTTTTATTACATGGTAGGCTTTTAATATTGATTGATTAAATGTAGGTCCTTAGTATTCTGGCTACTTGGAAGGGAGTCATGGAAATTTTCTGGCAGAAAGGAGTAGTGAAAATAGAGTCAGTGAGATAAACTTAGAACAAGACAAGCTAAAGTCATATCTCAGTAAGGGCAGTAGTGAAAAGGAGAATTAAAATAACTTGTGGATTTCTCAGGAACTCTCCATCCAGTTCCTCTTGACATTACCTCTGCCAATAAACAGGATATGTCCATTTCCAGGCTGCATTGTAAGCCCTCTCCAACTTACCCCAAGCTCCTTCTCCTTCACTTACCATGAGAGACCTGTAGTTTCATAGAGTTGCTGAGAACAGTGTGTTCTGTCCCACGCTGACATCCCCCACTGTCCTTTATGTTGACAGGTGGGATGGCATAGGATTCCTTGTGGATGGGGAGATCTGATCCATAGAATCATGTCCTTCAAAAGTCAAAGTCACATTGTCCCCTCGGAGCACATTGAACCATGGGGGTTCCAGGGTCAGTACTGCCCTTGGGGGACCTGATGAGGGTAAAGAGGAGAAGAGAATAAAGGAAAGGAGTCTCCAAGGAGGCATCAAATCACAGATCTAAGAGGAGGATATCAGTGACAGGCAGAGAGAATAGAATGCAGCCCATAAGGTGCGTGTTTAGAGGGATGTGGAGTAGACAAAATGTCAGAGCTGGTCAACTGCTGGTGGCAGTTTTCTCACACATGGATGCTACACTGAGTCATGAGGCTACAGGGCCTTTTCCAGAAGGACGGATGGCTCCCTAAGGATCCCCTAGGTCCCATCTGATTGGTAAAACAACAACTAATCAGAAAGAGCCATCATCTTCTCAAAGAGAACCCATCTCAGGGAAGGTAAGAGTGAATGATCTGTAACTTCAATCTCCCAAATCTAGGGGAAACTCTGGAAATTTCTGGGGTCAGATTGTTCTGTAGGAAGGAGAATGATCCATTTACTGAGGAAATACTCTTCCTGCAAGAAGGAGGGACCACATTTGCCCCATTCCAAGGTCAGGCACCCCAGCCCCTACTAGCTGCTGGCCTCATCAAAAGATCTAAATCTCTGACCCCAATACCCCCTCCTCCAACCCACTCAGCTCACATTCATACAGAAACCCAAGATCTAAGCATAACAGACACAACACCCTCAAACTGTGAGCTCCTTGAGAGAAGGTATTGTTTTTGCCTTTCTTTTTATTCCCAACAATCACTGGTTCCTGAGACATCATAGACACTTAATAAATACTTGTCTTGATTTGACTTGATCCACATAGCACATACACAGACATTTCAAGATCACTTGGGGCAGAAAGAATGCTGGCTTTGGATTCAAGGATCTTGGGTTCAAATTCTAGTTTAGCCACTTACTAGTTGTGTAACTTTGGGCAACTCAGTTCACCTTTCTTGGACTCAGTTTCCTCACCTGCAAAATGAGGAAGTTGCACTAGATGACCCGTCCTGCTCTGATCCATGACCTATCAACTATATTGACAACCTCAGAGCAACCACAGACACACAGAACCCAGACATGCCATGGGAAAAAAACATTTATTAAGTTCCTACTGTGTGCAAAATACTGTGCTAAGCATTTTACACACATTCTCTCATTTGATCCTAAATCATAAGACTTAGAGCTGAAAGGGACCATAGAGATTATCTAGTGAGTCCAACTTCCTCATTTTACAGATGAGAAAACTGAGGCTTGGAGCAGTTAAATAACCAGGTCAAATGGGTAGTAAATAGCAGGCCTTTTTTTCTATGGAGCAGGTAATGAAACACACACAGAAGCCCATGGATGCAGAAGAAATGGGGAATACACAGAAGAACTGCTCAAACCCAGAAGGGCAGCTAGGTGGGGCAGTGGATGGGGTGCCAAGCATGAAGTCAGGAAGATCTGAGTTCAAATCCAGCCTCAGAGACTTACTAGCTGTGTGACCCTGGGAAAGCCCGGTTTGCCTCAGTTTCCTCATGTGTAAAATGAGCTGAAGAAGGAAACAGCAAACTGCTTCAATACCTTTGCCAAGAAAATCCCAAATGGTCTTGTGAAGAGTCAGACATGACTGAGCAACAATCCACTACAGAAGACATAAAACTGTTCTAAAAGAGGGGGTTAGCACTGGCTTTCTACCTCCGAATCTCCTGCCCTCTTGCCCCTCTCACTGACCCTCCTCCCACTCAAGTTCCCCTTCTTTCTGCTCCCTCCCTCTTTGTCAGTGAAATTCAGGATTTCCTGGCCCAGAACCCACAGAACTGGAATCAACTGATTAGACTACTCTAAATTTAGAGAAATCTACTAGAAAGCAAACAAAGTACTCCACCCTGGCCTTTGTGGAACCCAAGGTATAAATTGCACTGAAAGAAGTGTGTGTGTGTGTGTGTGTGTGTGTGTGTGTACAGATAATATATGTATATGTGTATATATATATATATATATATTATATATGTTGTATATGGGAGAGAGATAATGTATGTGTATATGCACATGTACACGTATTTGGGATTATAATCTTCTCCCTATCCACTTCAGGTTGTTATGAGGTTGAGATGTGATAATATATTTAAAATTATTTTTCAGCCTCAAAGCTCTACATAAATATCAGTTGTTGATTATTCAAAAGAGCCTGCCCCAGACTCCAGTCCTAATTCAGAGACAGAATGAGAAATACGAAAAGTACTCTTCCTTAGAGTCCCCTGATGTGCCATAATAATAACAACTCACATTTACTAGGCACTTTTCTTATAACCACCCTGTGACATGTGGTATATATATTATTCCATTTGGTGGGTGAAGAAGCAGGAGCTCAGATAAAGTGAGTGACTTGCCCATGGTCATAGATTTATGAAGTACCAGAACCTAAGTTTCCTCATTCTCTCTGTCCATTACACCACTGAATCTGAGTTCTTGGTACTAGAAATAGTGACCTGAGATTGCCAGGTTATCCATAATTATAGGACAAAATACTCTAGGGAAAGTCAGGAGATGGGTGAGATGGGAAGGTCTTTAGAATATATGGGTGGGATGTTACTTGCTTTCAGTACTCCATACTAGGGAGGCTGAGATTGGAGACCCATTTTGAATTCTGAGTTGCAGTAAGGTTAAAGCCAAGTGTGTCTCCCTGGGAGTGGAGGGTCACCAGGCTGCCTAAGGAAGGGTGCACCAGCACAGGTCAGAAAAACAGAAAGTTGAAGCTCCAGGCAGCTCATTATTGGGATTGGTCCTTTGTACTTCCAGCATGGAGGAGACAGGACCTCAAAAATAGTCTCAAAAAAAAAGTAAGAAAGAAAGAAAAACAAATTGAATGGAATTCTGAAGACACAAAAGAAAAATAATTCCGAGGAGGAGGAAAACATGAATTGTCTGAAGGAAAGAAAACACAAATGTACAGGCAACTCACCAACCAAGTTAGACTTTTAAAAGATGCATAGAGGAGTTGGAGGCAAGGACTAGAAACCTAAGTTCCATCAATCTGCTGGTCAATATGCCAGGCATTGTATTAGGAGATGGGGATATAGAGACAGAGCACACAAAAGCATGTTATGGTTTTATAAAAATGGTATGAAGACTACTAATACTCAGAATAAGCTGAAGCTGGCATGGAAAATGAAGGACAACAAAAAGGGAGTATTCTGGTGTCTCTTGGGTTTTTTTTTTTAGCTATATTAGGGGACACAGAGAGATGGTGTGGTGTGGTGTGGTGAATCATATTGTAGTGGTGTTAAAGTCTTGCAGAAACAGGGGTCCACTAAACTATACATAAAGATCCCTGCTGGACATATAATGACTTAGTTTTCAAATGTTACATTATCTATGTTTTATTGTATTTTTTTTCATTTTGTAAATTTCCCCAATTACTTTTTAATATGATTTGGGTTATACTCAGGAGTGTTGCAGATTGCAGGTTGCCCACAGGCCTTGTGTCTGACCCCTCTGGTGCAGAGGTTGGAGAAGTGGCCTGAGAGCCAAGAAAACCTAAGTTCAAGTCCTCTCTCTGACATAAAATGATTTTGATCCTGGGCAAGTTACTGAAACTCTCAATATTCTATACAACTTTCTAAGACTGTAAATTGCAGAGAAGGTGCTAATCTGTTTTAGGAGAAGGAGTTTCCCCTTTTTGGGGTTCCCTTATTGGTGAACTCACCAATTTAGTCCTTATTTCTATGGAAAAGAAGAAGAATGAGGGTGGAGCCCAGATGGTGGAGTAGCAAGTACAAAGAGCACCCCTTTCTCACTCCCCACTCAAACTCCTCCAAACAGATCCAGAAAATATACCAGACTGAATCCTGCTCAGGAAATACAAGAAAAATCAATGAGTCATTTGTTCAGTCTAGTTTGGCACAGGGAGACAGACAGAGTGGTCTGCTGGTACTGGGAATGGAGTCCGGCCGGGAATGGAGCAGTCCAGAGCCCAGGGACTGCACTCAAAGGCACAAATTCAACTAGAATCCCAAGAAGATGAGACAAGAGTTTTTGGGGTTTTTTTAGGCAATTGGAGTTAAGTGACTTGCCCAGGGTCACACAGCTAGTAAGTGTGTCAAGTGTCCACTACGATGTTTAATCTCTGGTGAGACTAAAAAGAGAGAAAAAGAGAAAGAGAGAGAGAGAGAGAGAGAGAGAGAGAGAGAGAGAGAGAGAGAGAGAGAGAGAGAGAGAGAGAAATCACATGGACCAGGGGGTAGCAAGTTTTGAACAAGCTCCGTTTATTGATCTGAGGGTTAGGGTTATTATACCCCATTCATGGGAACAGAACCCAGAGTGGAAAAAGCCAAGTATAAACAATTAATTTTTCTCATGGTAGCAGTAACTGGGGGGGGGGTTCCCCCAGAGTCATCTCCTCGCTTCCTGATTATCTTTCAAGGTTTATTGAAAATCCTTCATCCTCTCAAGGGACAGACAGCACCTGGAAGAGGTCAGAGAGCCTCTGTTCTGACCTAAATAGCTCTTAGATAATGGACAGGAACAGGAACATCCCGACATGACCCATATCCTCAAACCCAGCAGTGCAAGCCCTCAACAGTTCTTTCTCTGGATGTAGATAGCATTTTCCATCATGAGTCTTTTGGAATTGTCTTAGATCATTGCATTGCTGAGGAGAGCTAAGTCTATCAAAGCTGATCCTCCCACAATGTTGCCGTTACTATATACAATGTTCTGGTTCTTCTCACTTCATTCAGCATCAGTTCATGGATGTTTTTTCAGATTGTGCTGAAATCCACCTGCTCATCATTTCTTATGGAACAATAGTATTCCATTACATTTATATACCACAATTTATTCAGCCATTCCCCAATTAGTGAGCATCTCCTCAATTTCCAACTCTTTGCACCAACAAAAAGAGCTGCTATAAATATTTTTGGTATACATGAGTCCTTTTCCCTTCTTAATGATCTCTTTGGGAATCAGATATAATAGTACTATTGCTGGATCAAAGTGTATGCACAATTTTATAGCCCTTTGGGTATGGTTCCAAATTGCTCTCAAGAATGGTTGGATCAGTTTACAACTCTACCAACAATGCATTAGTGCTCTAATTTTCCCACATCTTCTTCAATATCTATAATTTTCCTTTTTTGTCATATTAGCCAATTTAATAGGTGTGAGATGGTACCTCAGAGTTATTTTCATTGCATTTCTCTAATCAATAGTGCTTTAAAGCATTTGTTCATTTGACTATAGATAGCTTTAATTTCTTCTGAAAACTGTCTGTTCGTATCCTTTGACCATTTATTAGTTGGGGAATGACTTGTATTCCTATATATTTGACTCAGTTCTCCATATATTTGAGAAATGAGGTCTTTATCACAGATACTGGCTGTAAAAATTGTTTCCCAGCTTTCTGCTTCCCTTCTAGTCTTGGTTGCATTGGCTTTGTTTGCGCAAAACATTTTCATTTAATGTAATCAAAATTAGTCTTGATGATTTTAAAAGGAGAATGTAAAGGAAGGGGAAGAGGATTATATTAGAGGAGGAAAGAGGGAGGAAAATTAGGGGAAATTGTCTCATGTAATGATACTGTGCATGTAAAAGTCTACACAAACTAGGAGGAAGGGGCAGGAGGAATGTCTGACAGTTAAACCTCACTCTTATCTGAACTGGTCAAATGATGGAAGAATACATACACACACAGCTGAGTGCAGAAAGGCAATTTACTCAACAGGGATGCAGGGTATGGAGGGAAGGGAGAAGGAGAAATTAGGAAAAATATGGATTCAAAGAGTGATTAATCCTAAGCAAAACAAATTCTAAGGATATACAAAAATATCTATAGCTCTTTTTGAGGTGGCAAAGAATGGGAATCTTAGAAGGTACCCATTGATTGAGGAATGGCTCAACATGTTAGTATTTATAAATGTGATAGAATACTGTTGTGCTATGAGAAATGATAAAAGGGCTATTTTTAAAGAAACCTGGGGAGACTTGTATGAATTGATGCAGAATGAAGTGATTGGAGCCAAGAAAAGAGTGGCTAGAACA